GGGGTCTTCACTAGAAAGAGACAAATAAGCGGCACTTGCTAATCCTTTGTAGGCATTCATTCTCGATCGAGAGTGACTGAAGGAATCTTTCCTCTGCTTCTCAGCACATTCATTGCACTTGCAGAAGTAGTCATGGGGCCTTTCTATCCGTGCCCCTTTCAGAAGCAAGATATGGACAATTTCATACTCTTGGCAATGAGCAGCGAGTATTATGGGGGTGATGTCATGAGAAAACCGAGTTCCATCTTCATCATAAGCATAAAAATCATCATCGCGTAGTTCCTGCTCAAGGGGGCTTAGTGTGAGACGCTGCCCTTGTGCAAAGGCTGGATGGTTCAATATTGCTTCCACAATGCGCACATATCCCTTACTGATGGCCAACAGCAGCGCATCTCCAACTCGAGCCAGATTCTCCTTTTTCAGAAGGAGTTCAGTCACTTCCAAATGCTCATTCCCCACTGCTAGCTGCAAGGCATTTTGTCCCATGTAATCAACGCAATTAAAGTTCAAGGTTTTGGACTCCTCCAGCATTTTCCGCACCACGGGGATGTTGCCATATTCCGCAGAATCCAGGAAGCGTTCTTCCTCCACGGTCAGGCTGGTGCCCTTTTCGTTAAACATGTAGGCGGGCCTCGGATAGCCTGTCTCCGGCCTTTCTCCCGAAGGGTTGTGTGCCTTCGATGCATGTTGTTAGCGTTGCTGTTTCCCAACCTGCACAAAGACAGGAAGGAAGCTTGATTATCCTCTCAGCCATTTTTAATCTGAGGTAACCTGAAAATAATATTGAAAATGTTCTGTTGTTATAAGACCTGTATTTAACATGGTTTAAAATGGTTTAGGATACATGCTGGATAAATTACTGAATAAGTGCCAAAAAGTTAGACTCCTAAGTCACCTAGGCTCTTTTGAAAATGTTCCCCAAGATGTAACAAGCAGATGAAACAAGTGGTGATGCTCTGTTGGCAACACACTATTCATCCTTCATGCCAGTCAGTGATCTAGGGCTGAATATTGCCCACCCAGCATATGGATTCTCTGTAATTGTTTGTTTGGTGTGGAGTAGTTTCACATTCAGAAAAAAAGAAGAAACATTTTCATGGCAGGAAATTTGTTGGGTTGATTTTGTTATCATTTTTAAACGTTACTGTTGGAAGCAGGGCAGAGGTTTGGAATGCTAGAAGCAGTATTAGCAGGAGCTGGCCTATTATCTATTCTCCTATATTTTAAAAAAAACAATGGCCTATATATTCTTTTAATTATTATTGTTCTGTGGGCTTTTTTTTCTTTTTTTTTTGTTACTTTTTCTAAAAAACAAACAAACAATCGGTCCTGATGTTATTTCCCAATCCACAAATGAAAACAATTACACCTCTACCCTGATATAAAGTGACCTGATATAACACGAATTCGGATATAACGTGGTAAAGCAGCGCTCCAGGGGGGCGGGGCTGCGCACTCCGGTGGAGCAAAGCAAGTTCGATATAACGCAGTTTCACTTATAACGCGGTAAGATTTTTTGGCTCCCGAGGACAGCGTTATATCGGGGTAGAGGTGTAGTTATCCTGTGGGTAGAAAGAAAGCAAGAACATAAGAATGGCCATATGGGTCAGAGCAATGGTCCATCTAGCCCATTATCCTGTCTTCCAACAGTGGCCGGTGCCAGTTGCTTCAGAGGGAGTGAACAGAACAAGGCACTTTAACAAGTGATCCAACCCCTGTCGTCCAGACCCAGCTTCTGGCAGTCAGAGGTTTAGGGACCCCCAGAGCATGGGGCTGTATCACCGACCATCTTGGCTAATAGCCATTGATGGATCCATCCTCCATGAACTTATCTAACTGCTGCTCTACAGTCTTTCTTGTCCTCTTCTTTTCACCCCAGATACTGGAAAAGCGAATCTAAGGCTCTATACAAAGGGCCCAGTGCCTGAGAAAGGAGGTTAGGGTTTGGTCAAGAATTACTTACATACATATAATATATATGTAACTCACCAAAATGATGGACAATAACGTTGCTTTTTCTCACTGTCTCTGATTAAAAGTAGACCCTGGTTTTCCACTCCATTCTAACATCAACAGTAAGAATGGTTAGTGCAGAAGCAGAACACTATTCAAATAAAACTTCCCACCAAAACATAACTAATATAAAAAATTAAGCATGTTAAAATATTGTAGAGAAGGATGAGCAGAACAAATGACATTTATGGTGAAGGCACTATAACTCATGGAAGCCTTCACCTCTGATGAGTTATGGCCCCAATCTTGTTCATGATCACTGAAGATTAGTATTTTAGCTGCCTCACTTTATCATCTTTTTACATATAGCCAGACAAACAGAAAATTATTCCCTTATCTTTGAATATTTTCATAAGAAAAACTCAGCTATCACTTCACATTTTAAAAGCTAGTGACGATGTTTGACCTGAGCACTGAATTATGATGGAGTAGTGACAATGCAAAGAGATATATATTTAATAACAGAAGATCTTGGAAATTCAGCCATACCTATGCCACATGATTCTGCATGGTGCCTTGTTCTGCACCAGTTGTACCGACAGTTTTCAAACTAATCATACATACTGAGCTTGTGTAATGTGTTCTTTTTAAAAAGTGTAATTGTAACTTGATTGCAGGTATCTTAACATTTTTGTTTGAAGGTGCTCTGCATTTAAATGGCTGCATTTGCATATGTTATTGAGACAGCTAGTGATCAAACTCGGAGACTGCAATTAAAATATTGTGTTTTTCTAGGAATGCATGCTTTGACATTCCATGTCATTGGAAAGAAATCTTCTGTGGAAAGGCAAACCTTGGGCCAAATCCTGACTCCAGGGGGACTTCTGCCTGAGTTCAGGCCTGCTGCTGCAAGATGTTGACCACCCACAATGTCTCTGGTAGTCCTTAGGAGTTGAGAGCCCTTGGCACTTTGTGGGATTTGTCACTAAAGCACTAGGGGGTTTCACTCTATATATTGACATAGGGATGCTTGCTTAGGCTAAAGTCCTCTACCCAGCAGTTGGACTGGGTTAGCTGGGCTTGGTGCTGGGAGTAAGAAGAATTCTCTCCCACAGAGCACCTGTAGTTCCTAATGCTGTAGCCTACTCCAGCCTCTGTCCTTCCTGTCACCCACTTCCTTTCTGCTGCTACACTTGGGGCTTGTACAGAGCTCATGCCTATGCCATTCTGTACCCTCTGTATGGACACATACGTTCAGCCCCCCCATTGTTGAACCGTGGGAATACACTTGCAAACATAGGAGTGGCATTTGGAATTTAGATTTGGAGCAAAATTTTCAGACGCACCTATTTTCAAAAATGACTTAGGGGCAGATTTTTAGAGCTATTTAGTCGTGTAAAGATGCCAAAGACACTAATAGGATTTTCAAAAGATCCTTGGTACCTAACTCCCATTAACTTTCAATGAGACAAGATCCTACAGCCCAGATCCTTAAAGGTATTCATGCTCCTAACTCCAAATATCAGTGGGAATTTGGCACCTAAATACCTTTAAAGATCTTTGATTAAGTGCCCAAATAATTTTTGAAAATGGAATTTAGGAGTCTACGTTTCTTGGGTGACATTTTCAGAAGCACCTTTTATGCTCTACAGCTTCATCCTGTAATCTTTGTTTAGGCAAAAATTAAATTCAAGATGGGGATGTAACGGGAGTGAAGAACTGCAGGATCAGCCCCTTACTCGCTATTTCTCTTTTCCTGCAATGATTTCGGCTATTTTCAGAGGGATTCAGGAAAGATAGGCACTAAAATCCCATTAAAACTCCCATAGGCCTATTTAAAATGTTCACCCTCTGTCTCTATACAATTGATGCACTATTGTGTTCTATTAAAACACAAACTAAAATGTTACTACTCAAAACATTGTAACGATGAACAAAAATTAAGGAAATGAGACTCTACAGATGTGAATCAATAAAGAAATGACTGCAATGAAAAGAAGACAAAAAAAGCTCTTTGCCAAAATATTTGCAGAATTTTGTATGTTTAATTTATTTAAAAGAAAAGGGAAAAAAGGGGGACAACATATTTCTTAGCAGAATCAAGGCTTAAAGGCATAGTACTGTATTAGAAAGTGTGTGGGGATAAATTATACTCTTAAGGAAGCACAGACTGAATTTTAAGTATACAAGTTCTCCATCTTGTCTGCTAATGCTTCATATACTACTCCAGTATTCCAACTTCCAACCTGCCCCATATTATTAGCTTTCTTATATCAGGTTTATCTCCATTAACCAAAACATTTAAAAAAATTTCACCATCATCCTAGAGAGGAAACATGAATCGAGCAGAAACTTGACTAAGATAAAAATGTCAATGGAGTCCATTTTCAGTTACTTTCTATTTACTGAATATACAGCCTAAGTATTATTTAGGATGTTAGTTTTAATAAATAGCAACTTTTCCAGCGTTAACCAGCAAAGCAGCATGCCAGGGAAGTAGCAAGGAGTATTCCTTCCCAGGGTATGAATAAGATAAAAGGTCATTCAAGTTCAAACTTTCAAATAGGCTGCCTCCCTTTTGTGGGTGTGCTGAGCAGAAACTAAATCTGCACCTGCAATTATATTTAAACCACAATTCTGAATACTCATGCCTCTAATTGCCGGATTTTAGGTACAATCCAGGTGATTAGAGATGCTTCTACTGAGGTTTGCATCTGACATCATTGAACTGGTTGCAAAAATTCCAGCACTGGTTTTGCAGTTACAAACTGTATGGGTAAAAAATGGAAGTCGGCCTTCATCCCTTTGGAAAAATGTATCCATTAGGGTAAAGTACTTTCATCCACGTAGACAAGGCCATTCATGTAAGACCTATGGTATGGCTGCTGCTGGTGGCAAGGGGGTAAAAATGGGGAGCAGACATAGTGCAGCAACCATGGCCCTTGTGCTGGGTGAAGGGATGTTTGACACCAAGCCCAAATAGTCCAGCCTAGTGGTGTTGGGAAGCCAGGGGAGGAACCCCTAAATCCTTATTCATTAAGGTGTAGGCTTCTGGATCACCCCTGGAAAAATAGACAAGGAAAGGGTATATGGCATCCCTGCAGCCTGCCCATTGGTTTGAGCAGAGAGGCAGCTTCTGTTATCCATTACTTCTTACAAAAAATGAACTACCCCAGGTTTCTTATGGAATGCAGGGGTGAAGTTCACCCTGGAGGCAATTGGTTGATGTATGTTTGCATCACTGTTGCATTGCAGAGGACCAAATTATTGCTAGGGTGCAAATGTAGCAGTGCCATATATGTTGGCAGGAGCATATATACTGTACTGAATGCCACATTGTGTAGTCCTTATGCAAACAAAATACCATTGGCATCAATGGCCAAGATATTTTAAACTGACTAGTGATTTGGGGTGAAAATCAGCCCCCTTGAAAGAAATATCATATAAGGCACCCAATCTCCCACACATCCAAAATCATTAGTCACTTTTTAAAATCTTGGGCTATGGGGTTTTACCAAAAGCAGGACCCCAAAATTTTGCCCAATTATTATTGTTTTTTTAAAATCTACAGAAATCTTTTTTGTGTGGACCTGGTTTTTTGTTTTGTTTCTTTCTTTGTGTTTCGATTAATATAGCTAAACCTCAAATATTTATAACCCAATCCTACCCAAAGCTATGCACATTACTTTTAGAGTAAAAGATAATTAAAAATAATAGAATTGATCCCAGTATT